AAAAAAAAAAAAAAAAAAAATTACCTGGGTGTAGTGGCGTGCGCCTGTAGTCTCAGTTACTTGGAAGCCTGAGGCAGGAGGATCACCTGAGCCGGGGGCATTTGAGGCTGCAGTGAGCCCAGGGCACGCCTGTATGGTTGCCTGTGTTCATTTCTCTTGGGCAGATGCCTAAGTGAATTGTTTAAAAATCTCAGCCTTGGTGGGAGGCCGAGGTGGGTGGATCACCTGAGGTCAGGAGTTCAAGACCAGCCTGGCCAACATGGTGAAAGACTCGTCTCTACCAAAAATATAAAAAATTAGCCGGGTGTAGTGGCAGGCGCCTGCAATTCTAGCTACTTGGGAGGCTGAGGCAGGAGAAAACTCAGCCTTGGGTGGAGCCCGGGCGGTCAAGGCTGCAGTGAGCTCGGTCACGACACTGCCCTCCAGCCTGGGCACAGAGCAAGACTGTCTCAGAAAAGACCGAAACAATCTCAGCCTTTTCCTAACAGCAGTCTGTCTTCCGAATGATGTGCTGCTTACCTTTGCCCTCAAAACATATCAAAGTAAATAAGTCATTATTGCAGTGAAAAGCAGCATTTCCAGAACACCAAAGCCCAGATATCTGGTGACCGCCCTGAATCAGTGGCCACTGTCACTGTCATCTCATTCATTCCTTTAAATATTTCTGTTTCTTAGTTGTTTTTTGTTTTTTTTTTTTGAGACGGAGTCTTGCTCTGTTGCTCAGGCCGGAGTGCAGTGACGCAACCTCAGCTCACTGCAACCTCCGCCTCCCGGATTCAAACGATTCTCCTGCCTCAGGCTCCCGAGTAGCTGGGACTACACGCACGTACCACCACACCTGGCTAATTTTTAGTAGAGACAGGGTTTGTTCATGTTGGTCAGGCTGGTCTCAAACTCCTGACCTCAGGTGATCTGCCCACCTCGGCCTCCCAAAGCTCTGGAATTACAGGCGTGAGCCACCGCACATGGCCCAGTATCATTTTTAATTGCACAAAGATTGGCATCATGAAAGGAGGCACAGCCTGTCGTCCGTAAGGAAGGCCATTTGGGGGTCTCGGAGCCATGGGCTGAGGCCCGGAGGTGGTGGCCCGTCTCAAGGGGCAGAGGCGCACCTCCTGGGGAGCCCGTGGTGCAGAGCTCTGGGGCCACAGCCGACCTCTGGCCTGTCTCTCTTCCAGTTGGTGGAGCTGAAAAATGGGGAGACATACAACGGGCACCTGGTGAGCTGCGACAACTGGATGAACATTAACCTGCGAGAGGTCATCTGCACGTCCAGGGTGGGTGCCGCACCACCAGCGGTGGTGGGCTGGGGGAGGGGTGGGGTGCACGCTCAGCATCCTCCCTCCCTGGGCCTCATGGGAGGAGTCAGTGGGGGAAGCCACCTGGGCCTGCTCATCCTGCAGGGGCCAGTGGGGCATGGGAGGGACAGGGCAGGGCGGGCCAGGCCTCCAGGCCCCCAGCTCGCCCTGGACTTCTACCCTGTGGGAGGCTGCCCTCCTCACCTGGCCTTTCCTGCTGTGTGTCTGTTGGTGCCACCCTGACCTGGAAGGACCTAGGCCTTGGGACTTTCTGTGGCTCAGGTCAGGGCGGCTCCCTCCAGGGGAGGCCCGAGCCCCCCGGACTCTGCTGCCTTTAGTCCAGCCTGATATTGCCTGGACTCTATGGGCATGGTGGTGTGGCCATGGGATGTACGGGATGCCCAGGCTACGGTGGGCAGGAGCAGCGCCACGGCAGGCCAGGAGCCGCCCTCCAGAGCCCGAGACTGCAAGCGCCTGGCTAGGAGCCCTGCGCAGCCAGCTGGGGCTGGAAGGTGGCTTCCTCTGGTGTCACAGGCCTTCCCGCCCCTGGGGTGACCCACAGAGCACTGATGAGGAGGTCGAGGTGGTGCCAAAGGCAGCGGCTCCCTTGGCTTCCTCCTGCCAGCCTTCCCTGATCCCATCTGTCGTGTCTCCCCATGGGCGACAGCCCCCCATGGTATAGGGAGGAAACTGTTGGGGAGCTGGAAGCGCCTGCCTGAGGTGGCCTTGACGGGACCACAGGGCGTGAGGAGGGACGCGCTCCTTCCTGAAGTGGCCTTGTCTTGCCCTGACCCCCATCCCCACCGGGACTGGGCCTCCTGTCAGCACAGGGCTGGTGAGGTGGGGGCAGGTGGTGGGGTTGCCGTGCAGCAGCGATAGAAGCTCTGGAAGCTGCTTGCTGGGTTTGGGCCGCAGCCTGTGGGAGGGTGTCTGGGTGGGTCCCGTCTGGTCGTGTCGGACGGTGCCTTCCTGCCTGCTGCCAGTGGGGCTCTGTCCACTTCCGGCGCTGGAATCATCGGGTATGTCACGTGCGTGAGCACATGCGGTTTTATGGACACCACCATGTCTTAGAAGCGAGAAGCCCATTCACCAGCTCTTAGACGTGAGAAGCCCATTCATTCAGAGGCTACGAGGTCTTCAGGGGTTAGGTCCGGCCTCTGCCGCCAGCTTCCACTGGACACGTGGCTTTCCCTGGGCAGCTTGAATCTGTGGCTGGGTGCTGGGAGGAGAGGTGACGGGAACTCACATCGTCCCTATCTAAGTGGGCCCCTCCCTCCCTCAGAGGCAGGCCGCCAGATGCAGAGAGCCTGGGCTGAGACCTCAGGAGCGTTGCGGGCAGGAGGCAAGGGCCTCCCTGTAGTGAGCTCAGGTCCTGTCCAGGTTCCTGCACGAGGAAGCCTCTGGGCCCTGCTGGGGAGAGCTGGGTGCTGAGCTGCCTGCCCCGGCCCAGAGCTCCTACAGAACCATAGTGTTTCCATCCCATGAGCCCTTGAGGGGTTCCTGGAAGAGTGAGCACCCGAAAGGGTCTGTTCATCCCTGCCTGGTGCTGGGCCAGGCCAGACTCACTCAGGCGTGGAGAAGAGTGTCTGACGGGGGGACCTGGGGATTTGGGTAGGTGAGGCCTTTTTGGGGCCAGAGTTGGCCAGACGAGAAGCGGGAACACCACATGCAAAGTTCTGGGGGCAGGCCCATGGCGGGTGTTCCAGAAGCAGAAAGTTCCATTTGGAGGGAGTGTCGTCACCGGCTGGGAGAGGACAGCCAGGGCGGGGCCCTCCGTAGCCTTGCTGAGGCTCTTAGACCTTGCCCCCAGGCCAGAGGCGCCCTGAGTGGATTCCAAGCAGGAAGATACTGTGATCTGACTTCTAGGGGGATGGGGGAGAAGACCATCCAGGTGTCCCGCATGGATCTGTCCAGGAACCGGGGCAGCGGGGCAGGGCTGGGGAACTGATACGGTAGGAGGGGCTCTGGCCCCTGCTAAGCCCTCAATATGTCCCGGTGGGGGCTTGGGGCGGCATTGCATCGTGAGTCTGTGACTTTGCAAGGCCCCCATTTCTCCAGCCTCAATTAGCTCTCCTGAAACTGGCATCGCTGGGAACCGCCCTTGAGCCACCCTAGCAGGACCCAGGTTCCCCATCCCCCACCCCTCTTCACCCACCACATCCAGCCTGTAGCATGTCCCTGTCAGTTGATGCTTCTTGAATGGATGAATGAGTCAGGGCGCATAGAGAGGCTTCCAGAAGGGAGGTGGGCCGGGGCAGGAGGAGGAGTAACTGGGCTTCGGCTATGTCTGGTGCACAGGGAAGTCCCCACCTGCTCTGGGCTTTGGGTTGCAGGCAAAAAAACCCCCAACCCCGACCAGAGGGAGCCCCAGTCAGCCACTCCTGAGCCAGCCCCATGGGCAGAGAATAGGAGCCAGTCTTCCTTTGTGGACCCTTGCTCCTGGGTGAAGGATTGCCTGGGTCAGGGGAGATCCTGCCTGGAGGCTGGACCCATTTCCATGCTGTGTCCCCGGACCGAGACTGTGCTGCGTCCCGGGGTGGTGCGGTGTGCAGGTGGGGTGGGACGGCGGTCTGTGTGGGGTGGATGCTGCCCCCGCCCTCTGCACCCAGCTTTGCAGGGCCTCCTGCAGATCTGAGACCCCGCTCCCAGGACTTGGCCAGGTGGCCCAGTAATAACCCGTCCCCTTCTCTGCAGGACGGGGACAAGTTCTGGCGGATGCCCGAGTGCTACATCCGCGGCAGCACCATCAAGTACCTGCGCATCCCCGATGAGATCATCGACATGGTCAAGGAGGAGGTGGTGGCCAAGGGCCGCGGCCGCGGAGGCCTGCAGCAGCAGAAGCAGCAGAAGGGCCGCGGCATGGGCGGTGCCGGCCGAGGTGGGGCTCCCATCCCAGCGGACACACCTGGGGCGGGAGGGCGGCCGCAAGGGGCATTCCTCCTTCATTGGCCTCCTTGGCTAGTGCCCTCAAAGCACTGCCTGGGAGCCTCCCGACCCTCCCAGGCCTCCTCCTGGTCGTTGGCCGTGAGCCAAGGCCCAGCCGGAGGAGCCCCAAGACCCGGGACTCAGCCCTCCTCTCACTGCACCTCCCCTAGCCTCAGTTTCCCCTCTGCAGAGAGGGTCTGGCAGTGCCCACCTGTCCAGCCACTGGCAAGGATTTACTCGGGGCCTGGCGTGGGGCCCTTTCCCTGCCGTGGCTCTATCCAAAGCCAAGCTTGCCCTCCCCACCAGAGATGACAAATTGGGCATAAAATGCCATCTGCAGCCCCTGCCCCTCCTCACCTCTCTCTCCGGCTCTGTGTTCTCAGGGGGCCTTCATGCCGGGCTCGGGTGCCGGCCTGGGACCTTGTGGCACAGGATGACTGCCCCCGAAGGCCCCAGGCGCCAGCTTTGAGCGCAGGCTGACTGAGTGGTCAGGAGTGAGCCCGAGGGAGGGGCAGGGGCAGTGTTCCAGGCGAGGAGCTTTGGGGGTCTCAGGGTGGGTGGGGCCTCTGGGGTCGCAGGCCTGGCTCCTACGCAGCACTTGGGGTCAAGGTTGTTGAGAGCGTAGGTTGGGTCCTACCTAGGGAAGTGAGGGGGCTTTCTCTGGCTGTTCTGCAGGAAGCCATGGAGCCATGGGTTGCAGACAGCAGCCTCACAGGGGCTCCCACCAAGCCGTGTGCCCTGGCACAGCTGGTCCTGCCTGGGAGAGGGGACATCGGTGGCCCCAGGCCATTGTTAGCCTCTGGGCTCTGCCCCCACAAGACCTGGTGGTCTAGCTGGTGAGAGCCTCAACCTCTTGGATCCTCTGAATCTGGACCCCTGGCCCCGCCTTCACGGGGTTGAGGTCTGCAGAGATGGAGATTCCAGCTCCTGTGGATGTCAGTCCTCAGTCCCCAGACCTCCCCAGCCCGGAGCTGTGCTGCCTCTGGCACCCGGCATGTGGCTTCCTGCTGGCGTTGGCTCTCTTGCTGTTCAAAGCTCCAGCTTTGACTTCCTCAAGCGTTAGTCCAGCTAGAAAGTTCTCTGAAATGGCTCCCTAGACTGGGGTCACAGCTGGGATCCCTGAGGGAGGGGGAGAAGGAGGGATCGGTGTTGGGTCCCTGCCCACCCAGCCTGCTGCACTCAGGCCTGGCCTGTGGTGGGGGTGGCATTAGAGGGCCGCGGGCTCACGGAGGGTGTGGGAACAGGTCCCCTGCCTGCAGCTTGCTCAGGATCACTGTAGGTGCTGCCGAAGCGTCCACTCAGTGAGTCCCTGCGCAGGGCCCTCATCTCCCAGGACCTCCCTGGGTGGGGGCGCTGGACACCCCACACACATGCCTCCCCAGCGGCTGTGTGTTTCCACCTCAGGGGCTTCATGGAAAATGTCATTTGGTCTCATGGTCTCCTCCCCTTCCCTGTGCCTGGGGCTGGATACATAATAACCCCTCTTCCTGTTTTCCTCCTGGCAGGTGGATGAGGGGCCATGGGTGGTTCTGGAGCATGGGAGGCCCCCCATGCAGCCCCCAGCCTGGCCTACTGCCCTGGTCTCTGCTCCACCCCTCTCCTACCTCCCCCTCCTCCAGGAAGCCCTTCTGGCTTTGTTCTTTAGGAAGCCTGTCCCCACCCTGCAGCCGAGGGGACTGGGTCTAGTCCCATAATGAGGATGCCCTGGAGTGCCTGCCTTGCTCAGATGCTCCTCCCCAAGGGGCAGTCCCCATGTCACACAGGAGGAAGCTGAGGCTGGAGAGTTGGGTGACCTGGCCCAGTGTTTCGGGGTGTTGGGATCCTGTCAAAGGTCCCACCCACCTGGCTCAGTTGCAGCCCCCTCTCTCTGTCCCACAGGTGTGTTTGGTGGCCGGGGCCGAGGTGGGATCCCAGGCACAGGCAGAGGCCAGCCGGAGAAGAAGCCGGGCAGACAGGCGGGCAAACAGTGAGCGCCCACCCAGACCGGCCGCTGCGCCCTCCCGCCAGGACCGCGGTTCCACTCCACAGATGGACGGGTCTGCTCAGAAAGGAAGAGGCGGGCCTCGGGGAGAATTCCCCTCGCGTTTTGTGACTCTCCCTTTTAGGTGAAGCCCCTTTTCCTTGCTACAGCCGGCAGTTCTCTGGTTGGAAATGTTTGGTGTTTTTGGTTTTGTGAAGTGGCCGTCCAGAGCTGGCTGGATTCCTGGAAGACTCTTTGTTGAAAGCATCTTTCGAGCCTCGCTCTGGTTCTCAGGGCGGCATTTTCCAGAGGGGTTTGGTTTGCGTTTCTCGGAGCCTCTCGGAGCAGCGAACAGACAGGAGATTTTTATTTTAAGCTGTTGACGCTGGGATTGACAGCCTGGAGTTTCCTTGAGCGCGGCCCCAAAATTGCCTTTCAAAACAAACCCGGGGACGGATGAATGCTTTAGAGCCCGTGCAGGGGACGCCGCCGGGCCCTGGCCCTTCGATTCCTCTCTCTGTGTTACAAAAATAAAAATAAACAAAACTACACACTGCACATCCGACGTTCCTTTTCAGCCTCTGGGCGCACCTAGCGGGTCTCCCACCCTCGGTCCATGGCTGGGCTCTCAGGAAATTGCCAGCCAGTAAGGGAAGCTTCCTTTTGAAGGTTCTCACCAGGCATCAGCGTCACAGTGGGGCACTGAAGGACATCAGTACCGGCATCTGGATAGCGGGGGCTCCTGAGGGTCCCCGCTGACCCCCGCGCCAGGTTGTCCTGTAACCCCTTCCCCTCTATGGAGATATTAATGCTGGGGGTGGGTGTGGGGAGGGAAGTGCCCGGCAGGGGCCATGTGTGGTTCCCATCACCCCTCCCGGGTGGCCTGGGCTCCATCATCTGTCCACTCTGTCCACACTAGCATTCACGCAGAGAAGACTGGGGACAGGAATGCATGTGGAAGAGTCAGAGGCTGCTGCCCCCTTTCTGAGCCAGGCCAGGCTTGTCAGGGGTGCCCTGAGATGCTGAGTCAGCACTTTGGGGAAAGCTCCGGGTAGCATCTGGGGAGAGGGAAGGAGCCACAGGGAAGCCCAGAGGCACGCGGCAGCCGGCTCCACAGGTCAGGGCTTCTTGAGTCCTCAGAGTTATTTGCCATTGGACAGATTATGCATTTACAATTTCCTAGCCTGGGGCCTGGGATGCTCCCCTTGCGGTGGGTGGGGAGACTGGGATGGATGTCTGCTGTCACCTGCTCTCTGCTTGGTGACACAGCAGCACTTCACTGAGGGTTAGATATGGGGCATGTGGGGTCCAAGCCTCACAAACCCACCCCCTCAACAGAGGCAGGGGCCGCAGTTGGGGGCTCAGGCCTGGGGCCTTGGGATGCACGAGCCCACCTGCCTGCTGGATAAGAGCATTCGTTTTAGCCGGGCGC